GTTGGGACCTAGAGGTAAAAAGTGTATCTTTATAAGGTACCTGAGCACTCAAAAGGTTACATGTTTATAGGTGAGCAACCGGATGGTAGTATAACTGAAATTGAGTCCCGAAAGGTGGAATTTCTAGAAGAAGAATTTCTTAATAAAAGAGAGGCGAATGAGAATCTAGAACTCTTTGAACAACTAGACGCCTCAATTGATCCAGTTGAAAGTGAGGACTTCATTCCTTATCAGCTTGGAGATAGTGAGAGCGACATTCCTTCTAGTTCAGTACAATCAAATGAGAGTTCAGATGATCTTCACCCTCGAAGAAGTCTACGTGGAAATATTCCTCGTTGTCATTTTGAGATTGAAGGTGAATCTTTTATGGCTATTGTCTATGATGAAGATAAGCCACGAAATTATAATGAGGCTATCTCATCAAAGGCTAGTCAAGAATGGATTAATGCTATGAATGATGAAATGGAATCTATGAAAACCAACAAAGTCTGGGACTTAGTTGATCTTCCTCCTGGGCAAAACGCAATAGCGAACAAATGGGTCCTCAAAATCAAACGCCAGACAGATGGTTCTATTGAGAGGTATAAGGCTCAACTTGTTGCTAAAGGCTATACTCAACTAGAGGGTATAGATTATGAGGAAACCTTTTCACCAATAGTAAGGTTTGCCTCACTTCGGCTTATTCTAGCCATCGTTGCATGCCTTGATTTGGAACTTTATCAAATGGACGTTAAGATTGCATTTCTCAATGGAGAATTGGATGAAGAAATTTATATGCAACAATCAGTTGGTTTTGTCATAGATGGACAAGAGCGCAAAGTTTGCAAGCTCAGTAGATCTATCTATGGCTTAAAGCAATCATCCAGACAGTGGTACTTAAAATTTCATTGAGCTATCATTAAAGATGGGTTCACGATGATTGAGGAAGACCATTGTGTCTACACAAAACATTCACAGAAGAGTTTCGTAATCCTATCATTGTTGGTAGACGATATTTTGTTAACTGGAAACGATATGGATTTGATTCAAACTACTAAAAAGTCGTAGTCCTCAAATTTTGAGATGAAGGACATGGGAGAAGCAAATTATGCACTTGGAGTAAAAATCTATCAAGATCGCTCCAAAAAGTTTCTTGGTTTGTCTCAAGAGACTTACCTACAAAAAGTACTTAAGCATTTTCAAATGCATAATTGCAAACCTATTGAAACTCCTGTCGCTAAAGGCGAATCCTTGAGTCTTGAAAATTGCCCTAAAACTCCTGACGAAAAGGAGAAAATGAGTCGTGTTCCATATGCAAGTTCTATGGGAAAATTGATGTATGCCACAATGAGCACTCGTCCTGAGATCTGTTTCGCGGTTGGTCTTGTAAGCCTTTTTCAAGCGAATCCTGGCTTAGATCACTGAAAAGCTGTCAAGAGGATTCATCGCTATATAAAAGGGACTTTGGATTACATGTTATGCTATCAAGGTTCTAATTTACAGCTAGCTGAGTATTCTGATTCTGATCTCTCTAGAGATCTAAATGAGCGTAAATCAACCTCTGGATATGCATTCTTACTCAACAATGTTACTATATCTTGGATGATTAAGAAACAAACGTGCGTGTCGTTGTCCACAATGGAAGCAGAATTTGTTGCATGTACATCAGCTGTACAAGAAGCAATGTGACTTAGAAGATTTCTTGAGGATTTTGATGTGCTTAAAGATGCATCTCAGCCTGTTATGGTCTATTGTGATAATACAACTGCTTTGGACTTCATTAAGGATCCCAAGTATCATGGTAGAACTAAGCACATTGATTTAAGAAATAATTTTCTTAAGCATGCAGTTACACAACAAAATGTAGTTTTATAATACATTCCTAGTAACCAAAATGTTGCTGACCCTTTCACTAAACTCTTATCGAAGGACACATTTGTTGGTCATGTTAAGACGTCGGGGTTACGTAGAATTTGAATTTTGTGATGTATAACATTTTGAAACCATTGAATAATATCTTAATTCAATCATTTCATGTGATTTATAGTTTTAATAAATTGATGATTGTTTGCACATATAATTATTTTTTTTGAATGATTAGATAAACAAGCTAGTTGGCTCACTCACACGAGCAACAGTCCTCTTAGGCGCTATCGGGAGCGAGCAAGAGATGAGACATTTAAGTTGTCGCCTTGATTGATTTTCAAGATGAGGTCTTGTAGTAAGATCAAATATGGAATGCCCACTATCCATATAAAGTTGTAAGCTGGATGTGAGATCTTTAGTTGAATGAATTAGAGAACAATGAAAGATTTCAAGGCGCTTAAGGAGTGACTTGACTAAGATCTGTATGACTTTCATATCGTAGCATGTATTATACAACATGTGCTAGACGACCATTAGTGGAAATGAGTGAATGAATCCCTGCTTCCTCATTGTGTGAATCCTAAAGATATTTTATATCTTTATTATGCCCTTTGTGACTTTAGACTGTGTTAGGAGGTTTAAAATTGATGTAAGCTACTTTGGCATGTGGCCGACGGTCATGAGTGATTCGACCTTACGGAGCATCGCTGGGAAAGCTATTAATTTGTAAACTAATTGACATTAGGGTAAAGGAAGAATATTAGGATTATGACCTTGTATTATGCTTATCCGTCGACGGGTTATGACGCTTTAGATAAATGACATAATTATAAGCATATTACTTAAAAAGTTAATGTCAAAGTATGCTCTTTTAAGGGATTAGAGATACTTGACATGGTACAATCAAATAGTTCTAGGGCATACTGAGTCTTTAATTTAGTTTTCTATATATATATTTTTTAGGGTAGATGTCTCTATGATGGCCATGATTGGTTTCTAGTGTAGTGCTCCCACATTAGATAGACTCAGTGGTTGCATCATTCATTTGCCGTATGATTTAAACTCAATGCATCGAAAGAAAATACACAACACCATTATTGACATGTGCGAGTGAGAGATGTTGGTATTAGTTGTCCGCCCATGACAATAACTGAAGGAGTGAAGTCTTAATCTATCCTCATCTTGAGAAGATGGACTCTCCTAGCCATTAATACTTGTGTAACGCGAGAGATAAATGAATGAGTTAGTCACTCCTTTATAATGGCTGTAAGAGAGAGTATTTGGAAGTGAGTGAGTTATATGAGAAACGTATCCTTCATTATACTTTTGTCATTCATTGATATATTGAGTTAAGGCACTTGAAGAGGTGGAATTAAGTTGGAGCTCTCGTAGGTTCAACTCACCGTGAGCCAAGTAATATTGTAAAAGAGTTCAATCCTGTTATTCCGCTGCGATACGGTAAACCGTTCTAAAAACCGTCACCCTGAATTCGTGTCGGGTCAAGGACCAAAACTCGGTATTTGTATGGATTTTCACGCTCTTATTGTAGAAGAAGAATATGTGCCCTCTAATATTATCAAGTTGTCCGAGTCAGCAACGCCAAAAGTTAACCATGAGTGAGATTACAAGAAGAAAAATGTCCTCACTTTTTGAAACCTTGGGCTAAAATTGAAGTTGAAGCCACCGTTGAAGTTGAGGTGAAGCTCAACTTGGTCATATGCAGTGGTGATGATTCATTAGGACAATGTGCAATTTGCCTGAAAACTTGTTCATGTTTCTCACGGCTTGCTTACACAAGGTTTATCTGGGATGCATGCGTCAATGGCTGATTAAATTTGGAAAAGTTTCATGTCCTTTGTGTAGATCACTGTGTGTTGTTTCGGTGTAATATCATATCTTTTTCCCCTTTGTGTCATAACGCCCACAACTCTGGTGGTTAAACCACCACTTCCACTGTAGAGTCTGCAAACCATGATAGAACATAAACCATTCTAAATGAACCCTAAGTGATGGATTTCGGGTGTGAATCTCGTCCCAAAACTCCAGATCCGAAGATGCCCTTAGGCTGATGGATAGCCAACTCCATCATTTTTCTGTAATGTTCCTATTTGATACAGTTGAAAATACCATGACTTGTAGGAAAATATTTGATTTCCTAAAAAATTTAAATCGGTTCGAATCTAAATTAGTTAGTGCTTTAGAAAACTTGTCTAAAATTAAGCTGATCATGTTTCTAAAGGATTGCTCACACAAGTTCCGTAGAGCATGCACGCTGCAGTGCTGGATTGTGTTTGGAAAAAAATCACTTGGATTGTTTCATATATTCATGTTAGTGTTATGTTAGCTACATTTGAATATTAATATTATAGTATATTTATTCAATTATATCTTTGTAATTTCTAGCGATATTATGCGTATGTTATCATTTTAGTTAATTTCATAATATTGGTTAAGGTACATTGCCAATATCTGACAATGCCTTAAATCTCGTAACCAAAAAGAAAAAAAAAAAAAAGAAAAAGATTGATGAATTATTACCGCATTGTCACAAGCTTTAACCTCAGTTGAATTTCAGTTTTATCGTTTAGCCATCATGTTTTCGCAATTCTTGAATCTTGGTTGATATATATTGCTCCATACATATGTCCCCAAAATAATGTTTTATAACACTATAAATTGGACAATTATTCAGAATGGAAAGAGTAACGTAAGATTTTGGGATATCAAGGGTTTATCTAGGGCTTAACCCCGCACACACTGACACTTTAAAGCAATGATCAAACATACAACAAGCCTTTTTGTTATTTTCTGTGTGCCCAATGGGAAAAGGATTTCTAAAAAATTAAAATTAATTTCAATTAGAATATTGATAAACTCATTAATCCGAAAGAAACTGATTCTTGTGGTATTCCTAAACCCATGCGGATTCAAATCAGTAGATTTATTTGCCCTATATATAAGGCCCTTGCGATCAGTTAAGCTTAATTTCCCTCGCACGTAATTTAGTAAAGAAAAATCATTATTTAGTCTAAGCTCTATATTAATTGCTTCAGATGTCATTAATCAATTAAACCATTGTGGATTTTATTCGAGTGTTCAAGTGGGATCCCAAGTTAGTTCAATTGGAAGATGAAGCGACGAGGTCATCTGATCATATGGAACCGAAAGCTTCCATAACATTAGGTGATTTGTTTATGATCAACGTTGCGTATATTCAGAAAAGCAAAGATCATCTCCAGCGACAAAGTTACCAAGAAAACACAGTCATTTTGATGTCCAAGTTCCAGCGAAATCACTTAAGCACATTTCTGTTCACAAAGCAATTGGTGCGTGAATCCCTTAAGGAATTAGATCATCATCAGGGCCGTCGTCTTTCCAACGATGAATTTCTCGTCGCCCAAATCGCGACCTATCTGGGGACGAAATTTTGCTTCAGTAGCGAATTTTTGTCCAGTAACTGTCTTAAACCTATTATTTGTCTAGGTCTCTACGTGACACTGGCAGATGAAGCCGAGCCGAGGCCAAGGCCACCATTATTTAATGAGGAGGTTAAGTTTCCAGATGGTAAATTGATCAACCTTGGGACGAGTTTCAGACACGAATCAATCCTTGATAATTTGGAATTTCTTACTGGAATCGAAGTGGAATCAGGTCGAAGTAGTTACCTATTCGGAGATGAAGTCATTGCAAAGGTCGATTATTCTGTCAAAGGCTGCGATAGTAATGATTTGATTGACGAATGCCCAGTTTGCTTAGAGAAGTTCCGTGAGGACAACCGAAAGCCGGCGATTGCTCGGACGGCTTGCTCACACAAGTTCCACCAGTCTTGCTTGCTTAAATGGTTGGGTAGAAATGAAGCTGCTTGTCCTGTGTGTAGGTCATCTTGCATTGTATGGGTGAGTGGGTCAGTTAATCCTATGCATGAGAAGATAACTTTCTGGAACGAGGAAGTACAAACGAGGTTAAATAAGGGGGAAAGTTCCTTGAAACATTTTAGGGAAGAAGAATAAGTTTGAAACGTGGCAAGAAATGACTGCAGCCCTATTTGAATCTTAAGGCTACTTGGTCTAATTGATAAAGATACTTGATCAGTTATGACAAACTTTGAGTCTTGACATAATATAATGTACTTGTTATCTCTCAAAAGGACTTATTCGGATAAATACGTAGTCGTGTATCTTGTTTCCTGTGAAAGAGACATGAAGATTTTATTTTATTTTGACATAAAGGCTTCACTATAGTTGTTTCATTACATCTGGTCACATAAATTATTTTTTTGGACTGATACATGCCAAAGTTATATTATCCTTTTAGTCCACCAAATATTTTCGTAGTATAATGTTACTACATGAAAGTGATAACGTAAACTCGAAGTTGATGAGGACAGCTAGATTTCAAAACCTAAGAGAAATTTAGAAATGGAATTGAATAAGAAACGAAAAAATGTTCCAATTTCCTAATCCCAGAGTCCTTTTTTTTCATATATACTACAAATTAATACATCAAATTAATGTTTATTCAATAAGAAAAAAATTAGTGTGCCTCGCCCTAGTTAATTCAGTCAAGAAATCGAGATATTAAATTCAAATTCCATCAAGCTTTACGATATATATTTGCAGCTTATTAGAATCTTATGATCATGGCAAGAATCATGAACTAAAATGTAAATCTTCTAGTGTTGAAGTGGGGATCCCAAGCGAGTGTAACCGGCATCTTAGCAAGCAGTTTCCTTATTTGGTGGTTTGTTAATGTTCAATGCTAGGTAGTTGTCTGGAAAGCATAATTAAGAAGCCAAATTAACCTCCATCTACAATACTTAAACAATACTCATATAATACTAGAAATGGTGCTTCAAGGGCCAGATAATTCGAAACGGATTCGAATCAAGTGCAAGAAGGAAGTCTCATATTTGAAGTTGAGTCAAAGCTTAATTATGTTTGAATAAGCTACGAGGATGATGCAATGGAGATCTGTCCAATTTGCTTACCAGACTAGTGTAAGATTACATTGATCATTCTCATGTGATGATACGTTGCCTCAAAGGCATTAATGATAATGATTTAAAGGAGAAATGTCCAATTTGCTTGGGAAAGTTATGTGAAGCTCTCGATGATTGCTCGGACGGATTGTTTGGAAAATGATTTTTTTACTAAATGCATCGGATGCTTTTTGCAGTTTAGTCTTTTTTGAATATCCGAGTAATAAATATTTTAACTGGAAAGTCAAACGCTGAGGTTGATGGAATTACCATACTTCACATCAATGCTTTTGTAAGAAGACAATTGTATTCTTGCGTGAACTGTACCCTCTATCATGAGAAAAAACTGTTTCGTTTCTTGTACTAAAACAATATAACATACATCTTAGGACAAAAAGAGTATAAATAGAAGACAGGCTCCAAGTCCAAGTAATTTAGTTGATTAGTTGGTATATTAATTATTTGTTTGAAAAGTTATGATAGGTTGGGGTACAAAAATTTTAATGGGAAAATTGAGCGATTTATAACCAAAATAATTATGTGATTATAAAGTATTGCGCCCTAAAAATTCTTCAATTAAATAAAAATTAAAAAAATAATTATCCAAACCAATAATAAACCTAGTTATATTATTCATCCCACTTGATTACCTTATTTCTTCGTTGACTCATGAATTAGTACGTACTAAATAAACCCAGTAATCCGGTATACTTAATTCCTCGTTCAAAATGAATTCCTGAATAATTTATTTTAATGTTTTAATGACGCACCCCAATAATGAAATTGATAAGCCAGATGGAAACTATCAATTGTGTCTTTTTTTTTCCCTAACAGAAAAACGTGAGATCAAATAAAAATTAGAGATTTACCTAAACTCAAATTAAGTTGATAGGGAGCTGGGCTTTCAAAGAACACAAAGAGGATAAGGAACAGAAAAGAAATTAATAATTATCCGGAGACCAATTCACATTAGGATTAGTCTAGAATTATTTATGTGCACAACTATATCCACCTACTCAGAAAAAGGAAAAATTAAGACTTGCAATCAACTATTCTCTCCACTATTGTTCATAGCAAGAAACACAATATCGGCAATGAGTTAACAACTTGACATTAATTATTACTCGGAGCCTAGATGAAGATGATGATCAGGAACTTGAATGTGAATATTGAAGTGTTCAAGTGGGACCCCATGTTATTAAAACCGGAATAAGATACGTTAGGTGGTTTGTTAATGATTAACGTTAATTATTACCAAATCCCAAACAGCGAACTATGTGGTGAGGAAAACCTAGTTCATTCGCTAAGCAAGTGTCATCACCGACACTTGGAAAATCTTCACAACACAAAACAATATTTGGTTCGGCACGCCCTAGAAGATTTACGTGGACTACGTTCTTGTCACAATCTTCACATGTTAACAACCGTTGTAGCGGAAGACTTGGCACTAAATTTCGTTTTAGTCCTAAAATCATGTCGTGTCAGGATCATGACAAGCCTATTATTTGTTTGGATATCCACCTACTTGTCGAAATTGTTGGTGATAAGGTGAGTTCAGATAGAAGTTTTAACGATGACATCAAGATTCGCGAAAGTATTTGTGTCCGTTTTGAGAAATTAGTTAGCCATAGGAGGGCTTTCACCAAGGACAAATTGCTTGACAAGTTGAGACTTCTGCCCGGGATTAAAAAGGAACGTAAGGCAATGTTCAAATTTATATTCAGCGAGGATAGCGATTCACCGGGGAATTGTGCGATTTGTTCAGATGAGTTATGTGAAGTTTCCTACTGTTGGGTTGCTCAGATGGATTGCTGCTCACACAAGTTTCATCGGGGATGCATTTGTGAATGGTTGCTAAAAAGTACTGGTTCTTGTCCTATGTGTAGATCATCTTGCGTGACATTGGTTTAATAAGCAATTGCCTCTTATGCAAGACAGTAGACATAAATAAATTTAGTTTGTAGTTTTATAGACTGGATTTGTTGGTTGTTAGTGTTGTTTTTATTTTCGGCTATGAAAAGATTAATGACTCGTATATAATTTTTTACATTGTTAATGCATGTTCTTTCATAGTGTTAATTAATGTAGAACTTCAAGCTCAAAAGAAAAATTGGGTGGATTGACATGAATCCACAACTTTAATTAACTCTTGGACATCGAATATTGATGCTTTTCAGCATCGAATATTACTCCGTCGCAACCTTCGTTCTTGCAATATTTATATGTTGTTAGCCATGGAAGTAACAAAATATTTATGCTTTAACTTTAGGATTTAGTCCTGAAATCATGTCCGGTCAAGGTTATAAACCCATTACGGTTTTCAATCATTAAAGTATTCTTGAGTGAAGAATTGGTGCCGTCCATATTGGGACGACTACTACAAAGGACTTAACAATGATGATGGCCAAATCAGAGAGGTGTTTCAATCAGGAAGAAAGGTCGGATAATTCAAAACGGATTGGAATTCAAGTGCATGAAGGCAGTCTCATATTTGAAGTTGAGTCAAAGCTTAATTATGTCCGAATTAGCTGCGAGGATGATGCAATGGAGATCTCCAATTTGCTTAGCCAACTCGGGTAAAGTTACGTTCATGTGATGATACATTGCCTATATGAAGATGAAGTTAACATATGTCAAAGGCATTAATGATAATGATTGAACGGAGAAATGTCCTATTTGCTAGGGAAAGTTATGTGAAGCTGTCGATGATTGCTCGGGCGGATTGCATGGGAAAATTATTTTTTGACCAAATGTATGAGATGCTTTTTGCAGTTTAGTCTTTTTTTGAATATCCGAGTAATAAATTTTTAACTGGAAGTCAAACGCTGAGGTTGTTGGAATTATTATACTTTCAGATCAATGCTTTTTAGGAGGACAATTCTTGCGTGAACTGTACCCCTCTATCATTGAAAAAAAAAAAACAAAACTGTTCTGTTTCTTGTACTAAAATAATATAACATACACCTTGGGATATCAATTATTTGTTTGAAAAGTATGATATATTGGGGAACAAAAAGTTCCATGGGAAAATTGAGCGATTTACCGAAATAATTATGTGATTATATAGTATTGCACCCTAAAAATTCTTCAATTAAATAAAAATAAAAAATAATTATCCAACCCAATAATAAACCTAGTTATACTATTCATCCCGCTTGACAACCTTATTTCTTCGTTGAATCATGAACACGTACTGAATAAACCCAGTAATTTAGTATACTTACACTCCTGGTGCAAAAGGAATTGGTGAATAATTTATTTTAATGACGCACCCCTAACCAATAATTAAACTTATAAGCTAGATGAAAACTATCAATTGTGTCTTTCCTTTTTTGTTTTTCTTTTTTGTAGAAGGATCATTTGTGTCAATTATTACCCCAGAAACATTTCTTATGTGAGATCAAATAAAAATTACAGATTTAGCTAAACTTAAATTAAGTTGATAGGAGAGCTGGCTTTCGAAGACGGCGAGGAAAAGGAACAGAAAAAAAATAAAAAAGTAATCCCGAGACAATTTACATTAGGATTGGTCTAAATTATTTTTGTGCACAACTATATATACCTACCTAGAAAAAAAGAAAAATTAAGACTTGCAATCAACTTTTCTCCACTATTGCTCACAGTTAGAAACGCGATATCGACATCGAATTTGGTCAACTACTTCACGTTAATTTTCCTCGGAGCCTAGATGAAGATGATGATCAGGAACTTGAATGTGAATGTTGAAGTGTTCAAGTGGGACCCCATGTTATTGAAACCGGAAGTAGAAGCACTTTCAGTTTCCTCAGGTGGTTTGTTTATGATCAACGTTAATTACCACCAAACCCCAACTAGCGAGCTGTGTGCTGAGAAAACCCTAGTTCATTTGCTACACAAGTGTCATCACCAACAGTTGGACAATCTTCACACTACAAAACAATATTTGGTTCGTTATGCCCTAGAAGATTTACATGGCCTTCGCTCTTGTCACAATCTTGACATGTTAACAACCATTGTAGCAGAAGACTTGTGTACTAAATTTTGTTTTAGTCCTGTCGTGTCAGGATCCTGATAAACCAATCATTTCTTTGGATCTCCACCTACTTGTAGAAAATGTTGATGAGGTCAGTTCAGACGATGGAAGTTGTAACGATGACATCAAGATTCGTGAACACATTTGAGATCACTTCGGGAAGTTGGTTAGCCATAGGAGCGCTTTCACCAAGAACAAATTGCTAGATAAGTAGAGACTTCTGCCCAAGATTAAAAAGAAATGCAGGGCAATGTTCAATTATGTATTCTGCGAGGATAGCGATTCGCTGGGGAATTGTGCGATTTGCGTAAAGAAGTTATGTGAAGGTACCAGCTGTTTAGTTGCTAAGATGGATTGCTGCTCGCACAAGTTTCATCGGGGATGCATTTGTGAATGGTTGCTAAAAAGTACTGGTTCTTGCCCTATGTGTAGATCATCTTGCATGACATTGGTTTAATAAGCTTGCCTCTTATGCTAGACAATAGACACAAATAACATTTATTTGCAGTTTTACTGGATTGTTTGTTGTTAGTGTTGTTTTTATTTTCAGCATGAAAAGATTAATAATTCGTCTATAATGCGTGTTCCTTCATAGTGTTAATGCAGAACTTTAAGCTCAAAAGCAAAATTGGGGGGATTGACATAAATCAACAACTTAATTAACTCTTTGACATCGTATGTTGAAGCTTTTTAGCATCGAATTCCCAAAAATCAGTTTACTAATTGCCTTCTTTAAAGTGATCCCTCTTTAATCAGATGATTTGTTCCCTTCTTTGGGTACCAAAATTAATTTCATTAGCAATATATTTATAAGTAATGTTATCGTATATCAAACTCGCGTGTACTTATAATACAAAGATTACATATACGTTCCCGAGAAAATGATCGATTTCACCCAAAACGACAAGCTTAAATAGTTAAATTAGCCAGGGAGGCAAAGTGATCTACACATTGTCTAGCTTAATAAGCTTGCCTCAGCGAAATGGTATTCTCCATGAAAACATAGTGGCCTTTAAAAAAAATACAAAAACCGAGTACAATCACATTACACCAACAAATCACAATGATACATTCATATACCGGAAACCAAAGTGATCCAATCCAAATTACCTATCTGTGGTTCAGGTTGATGAAAGATAGTGCCTCAATCCCAACAAGCCAAGATATGGATAAAAAAAGAATGTTGCAGACCAAATATATGGATTATGGGCCTTCAGAACAAACAGACCCAAATTCAACATTAAACTTTTACCAAGAACGCTGGACAAGTCCGAATCACAAAATGACAATCCGATTCAGTATCCGAAAAACCAAATCCAAATCAAAAACCATACCAATCTCCTGAGAAGATATGATAATGGAAACAATCAAAGAGTACTTGGACCAAATCCGCGTCTTCCAATATAGACTAAAGCGGCCGCCGGAGGAGATCGATTTCGGCGGCGTGTTTATCATACGCGCCACCACTAAGTACGAGGACGACGACAATGTAACCCACGGCGTCACCGCGCCGTACTGCGTTTCCGACCGGCAATGCTTGCTTGATCTCCACAGAACCAAAGAATTGCTGGGCCATGCCTTTGAAGAACTATTCATGGGTCGTTCGTTTACGAATCTCAACTCATTAGTCGATAATCTAGCTGAAGACCTACTCTGTCAGTTTCGATTTAGCCCGGAATTCTTGAACAGGGAAGACACCCCACCCGTGATTGTTTCTGATTTAATCATCCCCGTCGAAAGAGGAAAATCAGATAATCATGATGACCCTGTTGCGGAGAGTTCAGAAACAGTTCAGACTTTGATTATGAGCGAGAATGAGGCTTTCCATGATGATGAGGAAATTAAGGTGATTGAAGATGAGATTGAGGATTATTTGAAAAACAGCCCAGAAAGAATTAATGATGAAGGGAAGACGAACACGGGATTGTATGAAATCAAGCCGGCTTTAAAAGTTAAAAAATTTGCTGAAGCTGATCAAAACCAGGGTACTGATGAGGGTGATCATTCAATGGTGAAATTCTGTTCAATTTGTTTGGACAAGCTCTCTGAGGGTGAAGTTGTTGCTGAAACTACTGCTTGTAGCCATATGTTTCATAGAGCTTGTGTCTTAAACTGGTTGATTAGGGCTGATTCTTGTCCGGTGTGTAGATCGAGTTTCCGGATTCCGGCGTGCAGACCATGTTTCAGAATTTCTATCTAAGTCTTCTCAATTGCGACAAAATTTTGACTTGGTATCTTCAATTTCCTACTCAGTACTAATCTAGACATGTAGAGGGTGTTAGTTTAACTTTCATCTCGTTCTTTGATAGGTGGTATTATGTCTCTGTTCTGATTGTGTTTAGATCCTCGAGTCTACAATATCTTGTTGTATATCCGTTGATCTTCTCCAATCGGGAAGCAGTGAAGTTGTAATGAATTTATGCTAGTACTTCCTCCGTCCCACAAAAATAGTCCACATTGAGTTTTGAATTTTATAGTGTTTTTAATATAAATTTTAAAATTCAATGTGGAGACTATTTTTGTAGGACGGAGGAGTAAATTTCTATATGTTAGAACAAAGACGTCTTTTGCTCTTGTGATTTGTCCAATTGGTGTCAATTGTGAATGGGTTTGAGTACTGTACCAAACATTTAGCCCTCAGTTCGAATTTGCGACATTGGTTAAAAGTAGACTAGATAATTGCATTGTTTGGTTGCGAGTTTTGTCATCATTTTTTCAATCACAGGGAAACCATTTTCAGCACCTCTGAGTGACAATCCACAAAGTCCTCATTTTTTGTTCGAAAAAATGGGGGAAAAAAATCAAAAGCAGATGAACACCATATCGGATATATGTACTCAAAAAGTCACGAATTCAAGTCATGCTCCTCTAGCGGATCTCACTTGATTTGAAAACCCGCATCACCTAGTAAATTGATGAGCGTCATTATCCTAGTATTAGGGTTGACAGAGGCTTTGTCACTTTGGTTACATCAAGGAAGGTTTAAATGTTATCAACTTATTTCATTGCAGTACATCGATCAACTGAATCTATATATATATAGAGAGAGAGAGAGAGTACTTATATAATATATATATATATGGAGTATATCTTTTCATGATTTTTTTTTGTGAAAAATGTAAATATATTGAGATTTAAACTTTCAAGTGCATACTTACAACCAAAACAAGCTATTCTTCTATTACACCCTAATCTACAACCAACTCACTATACATCACCTAAGTAAATAGCAAGTTCATTTTTTTTTTTTCCCTGTCCTATGTCCTTGTAAACACATCTCTGCCTCCATTACACTTCTTGTTTGATCAGTTTAACAACCTCATCAAGAGATCTTCTTCTATTAGCAAAGATCCTGCTATTCCATTCTTCCCATACATGATAAACAACAACAGCAAAAGCAGACCAGCAAAGTCTCCTTTTCAGCCTTGACTTCCTGCATACTGTCAAGATCTGGTTTCGCCATAAACCTTGCCTTTCTGAAACTCCTGTGATCCTTAATCATTGCAGGATAGCTTCCAACAGTGGTTTAGCAAAAGCACACCCAAAAATCAAGTGATCAGCAGTTTCCTGATCCTGATAGCAGAGTATACAGTCTTGACTATCCTTTAATATATTCATCTTCAGCATCATGTCCTTGGTTAGCAGTCTGTTTCTCCAACATAACCAGAAAATGAAGGAATGCTTTGGGACTGCATACCTTGTCCATATGAGATCAGCTGCTGGAAGTTCCTCCTCCTGACCCATTAGCCATTGGTACCCCGAATTGACAGAATATCTCCCATTGGCTGAATGTTTCCATTTTCCTCCTGCAAATTCATTTTTCACCTGTTCCTTAAGTTGCAGTAGTCTATTCCAGTGCAACGTGCACTCTTCTTAGGTTGTAACAGCCAAAAATCATGATTCCTTATATATTGCTCATGAACCCATTTTATCCATAAACTATCTTTCTTTTCAGCAGTATGCCACACATGTTAAATCAAGGCAGCTTCATATTTTTCTATTATCACCTTCATGGATAGAAAACTAACCGTAGGAGAGGCCGCGGGGGTGACACCTCAGTCTCCCGACTAGAGAATAAAATAATTTTTGCACCATTAAAAATAAAACTGTATGTATTAGCTCTACTAGATTGATGAACATTGCGATCATACTCCCAAGGCCGACCAAGTAGAATATGAAAAGCATCCATGCTAATAATATCACATCACACATCATCCCTATGCTTACTACCGATACAAAGAGACACAAGGGACTGTTTACAGATATTTACCTCACCTCTTTTATGTAACCAAGAGAGGATGTATGGGGAAGGATGAGATTCAAGATGCAACTTGCACACGACCTCCAAGGAAACCAAATTCGAACAACTACTGGCATCAATAATGAATCAGCATATTTTGTGTTTAATTGTGCGAGTTGATTCAAAAATATTTGTGTGCAACCAAGCTTAGTCGGTAGCAGAAGGTGCAAGACATGACCGCTTGGCCATCAGCGACAAACTCACATCACCGGGAACCAATTCTTCATCCTTGCCGTCGGTATCACAAACCCGCGGGGAATTATCCTCCACGGGCATAGCCATCGATGCATCAGAATCACCCAGAAGGGCGTGCTTCCTAGGCTGGCTGCAGTCCACCAAGCGATGTCCATGTTCGTCAGTATTACAAATTCAGGTGACTCCACTGCCGTGATAACACCAAATTTGCCACCAATCGCATCATTTCCATCAAAAATATCGGATTGATTGGTCGGCCAACAATTTCCCGGTGAACGTTCCTGAGGTATGGTTGGTGATTGAGACTCAGAAGTCCACATCTCCTCTGATGAAGTAATCAAAGGTTCGAAATGGTAGCTTCCACTGGATTGAATTTCAGGCAGCGGCTTAAGAAGGTCGGAGATCACTTCCGGTTGTCACGGTATTTGGTTCCTCCACCGATTTTCGTAAAATCCGGCAGAGTCCGTCGTTAAATCCCAAACGGAATTAAACGACTGTGATACAGGCCGAGGATTGCTCAGCTCTGATACCACTTTGTCAGATCCGGCGAGGATCGACATGGTAAAAGAGTAAAATCAAAGAGAAAAAGGGTAAGAAAATAGGAAAAACATTATCAATTCTTTGGGGTGTTGGACAAGAATATTAGTTTAAAAAATGGACAAGACATGTAACTATTTTTTTTTTTTTTTTGTGGTCAGTATCTAACTATACCGGAAAATGGTTTTCCGTTTTACTAATTCTCATTAATAAAACGGAAATCCGATTTCCGTTTTTATTTATTCCATTAATAAATTATAAAATTGGTGCGAATAATATCGACGAAAAAGGAGAAATCAATTTCCACGGAAAAAAAAGAAAGTTAAAAAACGGAAATTGGAATTCCGTGTTTGGAATGGAATCTAAATAATTGTGCTGATACTGACCCACTGGACAGAGGACAGTGCTTTTCAGCAAAAACGGAAATCTAAATTCCGTTTTTGTGTCCAAAAACAGAAATTCAAATTCCATTTATAATTTTGAATGTGCAAGACAATAATTGTGCTGACACTGACGTAACACTGACGCTTCGTAAGTGTGACTGGTCGGACCATGTTTTATTAGTAAAAACGGAAATTCAAATTCCGTTTTATGGTTCATTTATAATTGAACGATTTCACTATTTACTCGTTTGACAGTTTTGAATCTGAAAGAAAATATACAATTTTGGACAGTTTTGGAGAAGGAAGTGCAGCTTTAGCTTGTTTTTTATGCCACATTTACATCATTAAGAAGGTTAGTAATGATTTAATCTTACTTATTACGTGTTATTTCGTTTATTATTATTTTTCAATTGTTTGAATTAGTGTAATTATATTTAATGGTGAGATGATTTACGAAATCAGTAATCATATATGTTATATGAAATAATTTGTTTTGTATATATTTTTATTAAGATTTCTAGGGTCGTGTTTAGTTGATTTTAATGTCATTGTTAATTACATTAATTTATTATGGATAATCATTTAAACAGGAGAAAATGGAGTGGAATGGTCCATATTTTATTAATGTATATTGGAGAAGTAAGTATGTTATAGAGGATGGAACGATTAGAACATTTGATAACAGAGCAGATGGCACATTGTTTATTGAACGGAAATTGTCATATTCTGAGTTTTTCGCCAGAATTTGTGATAAAGCCGGATGGGATAGATATTCTGTGAATTTGAGAATTACATTGTTGTTTGAAACTAACGGTATTAGAAGGACCGCGACAATCACTGATGACTCGTCTTTGGAAATTATTTATTATTTTCCTGGATCATCAAATTTGGATCTGTATGTAGAAAATGAAGGGATAGTTCATGCCCAAATTTTACTGGATCTTTTTGGACAAACGATGGGTCCTTTTGGTCACAGTCACATTGGGCGAGTACTTCTCAACAAAACGCAGAAGCAGGGCCAAGCAGGAGCAGCGAGGATCGGTTCATTACCGAGGCTCAAGGCAGATATGAAAATAATGGACGTGATTCGGTTCAGGATGATGAATCAGATGGTACTTATATTGAAAGCGAAGAAGAAAGTGATTATGAAACATCTGTGGCGGATGAAACTGGCAATGACGATGCAGAAGAAGAGCCACAACAACAACAGGCAGAAAAATTAATCACTTCTTATCAAGGTCAGCATGTTTATTCAGATATTGGTGACTTCAATGTTGCGTCAATAGACTGAAATAAACTTGCACTTAAGATGTGGAAAGGAAAGAAAGAAAACATTGATTTAAGGACGTGCTTCAATGACAAGGAAGAGATTAGGGCCGCTATGGCTGACTGGAGCTCCTGGCAGAATAGACAGCATTATGTTAAATATTCTGACCCGAAATTGTGGGTTGCAGAGTGCATAACCAGAAAAACGGAAACCCCACCTGGCCAATCAACGTGTGGATGGAGGATGCATGCGTCTCGTAAGGCTCATGGTCTTTTTGAAATGGTAAGCTGGACAGATCGACACAATTGTGTGGGACGTACCACAGGAAATGACAATCGCAATATAACAACCGGCGTGATTGCCCGACTTATAATGCGTAATGTTGAAACAGACCCAGATTATTTAGTGAGGTCAATAAGAGATGATGTGAAGAAACATTATAAGGTAGATGTGAAGTACAAGAGAGCATGGCATGCAAGAAGAAAAGCCATCGAAGCGGTGTGGGGCAATTGGATCGATAATTTTACCGAATTACCGTGGTACAATTTTTAATTTGTATGGACTATTTTTTTATTTATTTACTTTATGCACTTTTTTTTTTGTTTTTATACTTTGCTGGACCGATTTTAACATGTTGGTCTGATTTTTTAAAAATAATATAGGTATATGGCAGCACTGCAGAAGTCTAATCCCGGGACAGTTGTTGAGTGGAAATGGCAGGATGAGACTGAAAATGAAGAGTATTGGACCTTCAAATATGTTTTCTGGGCATTTGGTCCTGCTATTGAGACATTTCATAAGTGCCCTCCAGTTGTGAGCATCGATGGCACGTTCCTTCGTGGTTAATACAAGGGGAAGTTACTTGTAGGAATGGTGAAAACTGCTAACAAGCATATTCTGCCTATCGCGTTTGCACTTGTGGATGAAGAAACCGAGGAGAGTTGGTCATTTTTTCTGGTAAATTTGAGGATCCACGTTCTCTTCAACAGAGTCACATGTCTCTTATCAGATCGGCATAAAGGGATAATCAGTGCACTGAAAAACAATCCTGATTTGTGGGACGAACCACGTTTGGGATACCACAGGTATTGTCTTCGACACGTTCGGAGTAAGACGATGTCCAAACACAAAAGCCAACCGCAACAAACAGCTTGGGTGTGCTGGAGATTAGGAAAGAAGTTGCAAGCGCACAAATTTAGAAGATTTTGGGCGAAGTTGGGTGAGTGCAATGAAGCAGGTCAAGCATATATGCGTGCTATTCCAAAAGCAAGGTGGAGTCTTGCCTATGATTTGGATTATGCACGTTGGGGCAACCTGACAACAAACATATCCGAGAGTTACAACAATGTCTTGAAGGGCATTCGACTTTTACCTATTAGAGCTATAGTGGAGTCAACACTGGCCAAAACTGTGAAGTTCTACCGTGAGCAATTTGAAAAGGCCTTAAGGTGTGATACCCTTATTGGTGATCAGTATTGGGAAAAATTCTGTGAGTATGAGAATACTGCTGCTGGTCACGATGTGGAAGTGTACGATGAACCAAACCTTGTATACAAGGTGACTACCGCCTTGCATCGTGGTGGTAAAGGCCAGAATGTTCACACCGTCGAGTATAGTAAGGCGCGTTGTACTTGTAAAAAGTGGCAAACTTACAGGCTTTCCTGTTCACATGCCTTGCGTGTGTGCCGAGAAATTGGTGATCATCCAGAGAACATAATACATGAGTATCATAAGACAACAACATGGCATGAGCAATTTCGAAATCCTGGATTTATGCCCGTCGCAAGAAAAGAAGAGTGGACCTTTCCAAGCTGGAACCTTGTTCCCGATTATAAAAATCTTGTTCTTTACAGGGGTCCGGGTCGTATCCAGAAGCGGCGATACATGATGGCAATGGATTATAGGGGTCGACGCAGAAGATGTAGGAGATGCGGCGCTACTGACCATAAAACAAGGGAATGTCCTCGTTCGTACCGCAGAGCTGATCGGACAAGAATAAATGTCAATTGGGATGCTGATGGTTTTGAAGGCGTAGAAGAAGTCTGAATAATGTTATATTTGCGTGTGTACTAAATAGTTTATTTGTATTGTTGTTTATTAATAATGTTTTTTTGTATACTAAACAGTTTATTTGTATTGTTGTTTATTAATAATGTTTTTTTGTGGAATTATAAATACTGTCGAACAGGATAATCGGACATTACCTAATGAAATTAAACATAATTAAGTAAAAAACGCAATTTGGTTTTCAGGTTTTAATCAAAAATGTCATTTGGTTTTCCGTTTTTCAAAAAAACGGATTTCCATTTTCCGTGTTTAAGAAAAAACGGAAATCTAGATGTAAAAATGTAAAAAAAAAAAAAGAAACCGTGTAAAAACAGAAAACGGTTTTGTTGTTTTAATTTAAATAATAATAAACCGGAAAATGAATTTCTGTTTTACAGTCAAAAGATTTGACCGCATAAAATCAGCTCTGTTGGTCAACTGCTCTGTTGGCCGGATTTTTTCCTCCTCCTTTTCCTATGTTCTTCCACCACCACCACTTAATTCCCGTAACCTGAAACCACCCACCCATCGGCCACCACCACCTAAATCTACTCCCTCTGCTTCCTCCGCCGGCCACCACCACCTAAACTTACTCCCTCTGCTTCCTCGCCAACCACCACCCACCTAGATCTACTCCCTCTGCTTCCTCCGCCGGCCACCACCACCTAAACTTACTCCCTCTGCTTCCTCGCCGACCACCACCCACCTAGATCTACTCCCTTTGCTTCCTCGCCGACCACCACCCACCTAGATCTACTCCCTCTGCTTCCTCCGCCGGCCACCACCACCTAAACTTACTCCCTCTGCTTCCTCGCCGACCACCACCCACCTAGATCTACTCCCTCGGCTCCATCCACCGGCCACCACCTTGTTAGATCTACTCCCTCCGCCGGCCATCGCGTTGCTAGACTTGGAGATTCACTGGCTTTTTGAGAGCTAACATCACACTCAGATTATTTGCCTGTAAGTATTTCTTGCCGTCTGTCTCCATTTTCCTTTTTTCTTTTCAGTTGGGAGTTCTCATTATCTAGTTCGGCTTTTTGCAAATTTGCCTACTCTGTGTTTCGTTTTTGTGCAAAGTGTCTGTGTAGGATTTTGACCTGATTAGAGCAGGAAGGTGCTCACTGGAACTTTAATGGAAGTTGTAGAACCTTTAGTTTTGCAACTTGCTTAGTAAATAGATCATTTAGTCAAGTTCTGTTTTTGTGTTAACAGAGACATGCATTTCTTGCAGTTGTTTGGTGTGATTTGCTCTGTCTTTTCCAGATTTATCTTGAAAAGGATACACAACTCTCTAACTGCTTAAAAGTTAGAATGTGATTCTGCCTCAATTTGGTTCTGCCTCTATGTGGTTCTGCCTCAATAATTATACGTTTCAGATATTAAAGTACTTGAACTGAAAAGAAAAATGTCCTTGAGTTTACTTGAAAAGCCTTTAATGTGTAGTATTCTGATTTCAAGTTTTCTCTTTAGCTTTTATCTGGTATTACTTTCTGTGTTTAACTGCTTTTGTCCTTGTTTCAGTTTTCTACTCCCTTTGTCATTGTTGAAATATTCGTGTTTAACTCCTTTTGCAGAAAAATGGCTAGTTCTTCTATACAAACCCAAACGCAAACCCAAATCCAAGTGTACACTAACCAGGGACCGGACATTGGCGACCTCCTACAATTGCAAGGTGACCATAGATCGGCACTTGTTTTCGACGGTGTAGAAGATTTTATAGATAGACACCATAAGTGCCGGAGAAATAATAGTCGAATTTGGAGAGAGTTTGTTGGCGCTCCTAAGCAGGTTGTAGAATGTATTCATGAAGCTGGTTTTGGGTTTTTGTTGTCGAACGGACATCTGCAACTAGACAACCATCTTATTACTGCCTTGGTCGAAAGATGGCGTCCTGAAACGCATACGTTTCACTTCCCAATGGGTGAAGCAACCATCACTCTCCAAGACGTTGAGGTTCTACTAGGTCTAAATGTAGATGGCCCCCCTGTTACGCACAACCCTGTAGAGAAGACAGCCTGGCCAGCTATGTGTGAAGAACTTTGGATTTCGTACCCACCTTCAAAGGAAACACCATTTACATATCATCCTTAAAAAAACAAGCACCTGTGCCTATTGCCGAGAATTCTGAAAAACCTGCTTATGAAAAGAGGGCACGGGTCTTTATAATGTGGGCTTTAGGCGGTATACTTTTTCCTGACTCAACCGATACAGTTTCCTTATGTTATTTGCCATTGTTACGCAACCTGAAGGATTGTGCTAAACTTAGCTGGGGCAGTGCATGTCTCGCGATGCTTTACAAAAGTCTTTGTAAGACAACACAAAGCAAAAATTGGAATGTTGGTGGTTGCCTACTTCTTTTGCAGGTCATCTTTACACCATTTCACTTCTCAGTCACTGTTTTTTTTTTAAAACAAATATTGAAATTTACAGCTTGTCATTGTTTTTATGTATAGTTGTGGGCGTGGGAGCGTATCCCTGTGATACAACCACAGAGGCAATGTGATGAAGAATTTTTCAAGGACCATGCGTTTGGTGCAAGGTGAGTTATGTACATATACTTATATTTTTTAATTTTTATTGTTACACTTATTTTAGTTTACTTGGAAACGTTACACAGTTTATTATTTTTCCCATAGGTGGTGCGTTCCTTTGGGCCTTTCTGGGGTACCGGCTCATACTATCACTGCCTACAGAGATCAATTTTCAGCTCTTACTACACCTAATCATGTAAAAGCTTGGATTATTATGGACTTTTGGCACCTGGTTTTTTTTTGGTCTTTTTCAGGACTATTTTGAAATCTGGACATTTTGTTTTTTAAACCTGGATTTATTTTTTATTTTTTCAGGACTGTTTTTTTTTTAAATTTTCAAATCTGGACATTTTTCTTTAAACCTGGATTTATTTTTTTATTTTTTCAGGACTGTTTTTTTTTTAAATTTTCAAATCTAGACATTTTATTTTTTAAACCTGGATTTATTTTTTATTTTTTCAAGACTGTTTTTTAATTCCTTCAAGACAATTAGATTTTTTTCTCCTTTTTCAGCACTGTTTTTTTTTTCATTTTTTCAAATCTGGACATTTTGTTTTTCACTGCTGGATCAGTTGTTGATTTTTTCAGGACTGTTTTTCAACTCCTTCAAGATAATTGGATTTTTTTCCCCTTTTTCAGAACTGTTTTTTTCCAATTTTTCAAATCTGGACATTGTAACACTTTTATTCTGTTTCTTTAATTAATTTGTCAGTTCACTTGGATGCCTTATGCTAAATACCTCCTTAAGCTTGTTGATTCTTGTACACGGGGTCAAAAATGTTGGCAATCAAAAACGTGGTTGATTTGTTTTGATGTCACGGAACCACATCAACCCGATCGTGTCCTGCGACAATTTGGACAAATCCAAACTATCCCAGAACCACCCTTGATTGCCAACAAGACTCAATGGGAAAAAATACATCGTTATGGTAAGACTGGATATCATGGGACTAATTGGGTGGATAAGAATCGTGAATACATTGACTCTTGGGATGACAGATTGAGCTCCATTGAGGAAGGCCCATCATCTAATGGGCTACCTTTAGCCACTGATGATTATCTTCTGTGGTATCAATCCAGGACCGTTAGATTCAGTACGGATCCTAGTAAATATGACCAAAGGGTGGAGGGTTTTCTTCATCGGGCAAAATTATATGTAAGTTTTCCTCACACCCTTCTTTATTGTAATTCTCAACTGCCATTTCCAATAGATTACTATTATTTTGTATTCTTTTTAGTTATTTTATAGTTTTTTCTCTTTGCAAAATTCTAGAAGGGCACTTTGAATGACATTCTCAAGAAGGTCGAAACGTACAAGGCTAAGAAATGTTGTTCAAATGCGACATGTGAGGAATTTTTTGATTCAATCTCTGTTTTGGCTGAGAATGCCTTGTCGATTGTCCCGACAGAGATGCCTACTTTGTATCCAAGCCAAGTGGTTCTCCAAATTCAACCTAAAAGACCCATAACAGCTGCTAAATATCGCAGGGCTAATATCCCTAAGGCTGGAATTGGAGGAAGAAAGAAAGTAGTAGAATCCAATGAGTTCTTGGCAAACTTGTTTCAAACTCCGTCTCCCCAGGAACAAACTATGTTTACTGGGGAACAAACTATGTTTACTATGGAGCAGGAACAAACTACTACGGAGCAAGGTATTGAGATTGAGGTGACCCCAACTATAGAGCAAGATGCTGAGTTTCAGGCATCCCAAACTTTGCAGCAATCCAGCCTACCTTTGGCAAAAAGAAAACAGGATCGGAAACACAGGCCACCTAAAGAGTATACACCTTCTAGGTCCACGCCGCCATCGCCGGAGGAGTAATTTCTTTTTAGGTTGTATTTCGTAGTTTTGAACTGTTTTGGACATGATTTGGGGATAATTCCATGATTTAGATATGGATTAGTTGTTGAAATTTTTGTGGTTGTGATTTGGACTGAATACTTTTGCTGCTTGTTTCTATTTGAATGAAGCTTTGGTTCTATTTATTGGTGTTGCACAAGTTGCTGCTTGTTTATGTTTGAATGGAGATTTGGTTCTGTTTATTGGTATTGCACAGGTTGGTGAGTTTTAGGCTTCACTTTTTTTTTCAAACATTCCAAGTTAAACACGGAAAATCAAATTCCGTTTATTACCTATGAAAATTATTTCCCGGTATTATTATTATACGAATTTTTTTTAATTAATGAATTTAATTAAAACGGAAAATGGTTTTCCGTTTTTGTCATAATCATCCAGTCAAAACAATTAGTACTCTTAATTATATTATAACTGGTAAATGAAATTCCGTTTTTATTACTGTAGTTCTTAAAAATGGAATTTGGTTTTCCGGTAATGTTATTTCCTGACCACTCTTTCTAATCCTTGTATTTCAGGCGACCAGTGGTACAAACACAATATTTTGGTAAATGATTCCAATTCTTTGCTACTGCTGAAAATGGAGACGGCAAGTTTTTTTGCCGGTTCTGGAATTTGCTAACTATTACATATTTGCAACTCAGGCCCTCATACTTTTGGCAAATTCCAACGCAACCCCTGGGTATATGACAAAATCAGCGTGTGTCTTTCGATGGAGTTTAAAGCAGCCGGCTAAGACTAAGATCGATCTTGGCGGCATGTGTATCATCTGTGCCAATATCTTTACCCACAACACACATTACCCCGACTCGAATCATCGTGCAATATAGCGAATCCGAAAGACAATGCTTGTTAGATATTAACTTGACAAAAGAGTTGCTCAACAAGGCCTTTGAAGTTTGAACAATTTTTTCTAGTTCGTCCATTCATAAATCTCAACACACGAATTAGCTGAAGACCTGATTTGCCAATTTCATTTTAGTCCTGAATTCCTGATGAGGGGAACATACTAAACTTCTTTTTGTGTTGGAGTTGGATATCTCTATTGACGGAGAAGAATCAAATCCTTACTATGTGGACAATCCAGAAATCCTTAATCCGCAGGTTTTCGGCGATGAGCTTTTCAGAAGATTCGAAGAGGACATTAAGGAGAACTCATATGAAATCAAGCCTGCTTATCAGATTGAACACTTTTCTGATGATAATGTCATTGGGACAACAAGTACCATTTCGGATGCGGGTGATCATCGGTCACAAGTAAAAGTCTGCCCAATTTGTCTGAAGAGATTCTCTGAAGGCGAAGTAGTTGCGAAAACTAGTTGTAGTCATATGTTTCATAGCACTTGTGTCATGAACTGGCTGATTAAGGCTGATTCTTGTCCCATGTGTAGATCATGTTTTAGGTTTCTGTCTGAAAGTTCCTAATGTTTCACTAGAATCTGTTTTCCTAAGAACATCCATTAGTAGTGGCTGGAAAAAGGTTCAAACATTGCTTTCAAGAATACATATCAGAAATCTTTCCCACTTTTAAACCATACATATAAACTCTGCCAAATAAAAAACCAGCTCTTAAGCATCATCCTCTGCAATCTGACTTTGCGGCTTTCTGCTAGAAGCATTAGCTCTGCAAATCCTCTGATTACAGAAGCCATCTTGCCGATTGGCCACATAAGTTCCAATCCGGCATCAATGTTTGACACCATCATCCTTGAAAGTGAGTGCACCGTATTCAGTAATATCAGTAGTACTTGCGACTGAAAGAACGATACTGCTCTGCTGTCGAAAGTTTTTGCACCATTCAGATGGAAGCAAAATTTTTATCAGGAGTTACTTTGTGGTCACCTGAGTGCTTAGGCATTTCAAAGCAAGAGGCGCAGTGGTGATGAACTAAAGTAGTTCCACTCCTGCGAGCTATAGGATGTTGACACGGTGATATCCAAAGCAGGGATAGAGCTTTGGTTTTTTGAAATTAACTATTGAAAAATAAATAAATAAATAAATAAAAGCAATGGATTGACCTAACCATGTTTTAAACCCTCGACCTTGTAGTAATAACAATCACTAGCCCATAACACCCCTACTCCCACAGAAAGAGCATATATGCAAATGGAACAAGCAGAAAGTAAAGCACTGTCTTTTTACATTATTCATTTAGATTCCTCAGTTACAATGTGAAAATTGGCAATATTATCAACGGTGCCAAGAAAAGAAATATACAAAATTGGTGGTGGTAATCATGAAAACTTTGCCAAAAGACTTAGCCTGAGGATGGAAGAATGTGATTTTATCATATAAGTATATATAAATATCAAAAGTAAACAACAGACCTGAAGGCTGTACAAAAGAAAATTGGTCTGCATATACCTTCATGCATCTCCAGCAATTCTGTTTTTTACAAGCTCTTTCATCAACATCAGAGTCCCATTTGCTTCATCCACAAGGACCACTTGACAGCTTCCAGAAACATGTCATTCTTTCGCAATGCATTAATCAGATTAGTGTAGGTCACTCGGTCAGGTTCTATTCCCTTTTCTCTCATTTCTTTGACTAACTCCACAGCATCTTCAACCATTCCAGCAATTCCATACGCTTTTATCAGTGTGTTGTAGCCACACAAATCAAGCCCCAGTTGTAATTCTCTCAGCTCCAGCAGAACACCAGACAATTCATCGACCCATTTCTGCTCGCCGTAAATGTTAATCATTATGTTATAAGTATAGCTATCCCAAACACATCTCGAGTCCTTCATTCTCCGCAAGATATCTCTGAACTTTTCCATTTCACCTTTTTTCCCATAGGCATCCAGCATGCAGTTATAGGCTTCAAGGGAAACAGAAAGGCCATTAAATTCCATTGTCCTGACAGTTGCCGACATGTTTTTGAAGTCCTTGATCTGCCCATAAGCAGCAATCATGGTATTGTAAGAGACATCATCAATCAGGCCTCTTTTCTTAGCCATCCAGAACAGTTTCCTTGCCCTCTTGAAAAGGCCAGATTTTCCATAGACATCAAGCATGACATTAATGGCGATTATATTAGGAGCATATCCATGTTGAAGCATTTCATCGAAAAGCTTGGAGAGTTCATCAACTGGTAATGCACGAGCACAACAGTTTATGACACAGTTGTACATTTCCTGATCCCATACTACTCCAGTCTTCAAGGCTCTGTAGTACAGATCCTTCAGTTTATCCAGCATTGCACACCTCTGATATATACGGAACATATCTCGGAGCAAATACACATCTGGAACAAGATTCTTCTGTTCCTCCATTGCCTCAATTACCAGGCAAGCCTTTTCAAGAGCGCCCGACTTTGCATACATTCGGATAACAACACTGAAAGCTATCATGTCCAAGCTAATTCCAGATTGCTTTAACTTAAGGTAAATATTTTCTGCTTCATTGAACAGACACATTGTACTAAAAATGTCAATCATCGTGCAGCATATGTGCAAGTTGGGCTTCCCTTTGGCTTTTGGCATGAAAGTGAAGATTCTGCAGGCATTTTCAAGATGACCCAATTCTTTGCACGTGCATATAGCCAAATGGTACAAATTATCCTCAAATACAGAATCCTTCCACTGCTTCTCGGCAAGCACTTCCAATGCATCATTTATTAAGCCATTCTTCACATAAGCCAACACCAGAATTGAGCAAGATGTCTGATTTTTTAGGGCATGGTCATAGAGAGAACCTTTTAGAATAGAAGACACTTTCTCAAATCTCTCAGCTTTTTCATAAGCTTGCAAAACTATACCAAGGACAGAGGACTTTTGGCAACCAATTTTCATCATGTCATCAATGGTACTCAGGATACCCTCTTCATCTTCATTTTTGGCCTGCAAATTTATCATCGTGAACAAATTTGCTGAGTTAGGCATGACTCCTAAACTTTTTAGTTTTTCGTAATACCACTTTGCCTCCTTGTAATTATTCACCCGGCCCCATCCTTCAATCATTGATCTGCAAGTTGTTGCATCAGGCTGCAACCCAACCTTTTCAAGTTCATTACACAATCGTTGAGCAGCAGCCATGTTTGACAACTTACCATAACCTGTAATCAGTGTGTTGTAAGCAATGATATTTGGAGCAAAACCAGCTCTACCCATAGAAACCAATTCCTTTTCAGCCTCTCCTAACTTTCCTTGCTGGCTATAAGCATTAAGAACAACCAACCAGTTCTCTAGATTTAAGATCACCTCGTCTTTTCTCAGAAACCCAATCACCTCTTCTGCTTTGTCATAAAATCTCATACGGGTATATATAGTTATCATGGCTGAGTAAGCTGAATGACAAACAATGCTAAGATCCCTCATTCTGGAAAATGTAAACTCTGCTTCCTCAACTTTCCAGTGTTTCTGATATAGACTCATTAACATCCCAAAAGTTGCAACATTAGGCCTAACCCCATTTTCTAACATCATATGAAACCACTTTGTACCCAAATCCGTAAGTCCCCCCTTATGACAGGCATATATAATCGTATTAAAAATCTGGCAATTGAGCTCACAGCCTGATTCCATAATAATTTCTTCAATCATTTTCTCTGCCCTGTACCAGTCACCCTTCCTGCCTAGAACTCTAAAAATCAAATTATAGGCATCCAAATTATTCCTCAACCTACCGTTTTCCTTCATCCACTCAAAAAATCTAAAGGCTTTATCATCATCACTGTTTTCCAGCTGCTTCAAAATCGCATTACAACGCTCTAAGCTCAGCTCAGATTCCAATGTAGACAAATCAAAATCTTCGGCAATTTCATTATCCAACAAAGAATTGATAAGAACATACTTGTTAGCAATACTTCCAGTTCCACCATCTCCAGAGCCACCACCACTATTCTCACAAGAAATTGAACTCAAGTTTGAGTCTTTTCTCAATTTCTTTACATTTCTAAATCTTCTCCAGACTCTAACACTGCTCTTCCTGGAGCTTCCTTTAAAGCTCGACCTTTTAGAATTCGAAGTCTCAGAAACTACATCACTACTGGAATGGCTAATTACACTATCAACAGAAACTAATTCAACAGAACTCAACTCGGAATCATCAGAAAATTCAGTTAGTACCTGAGAAACCTTAATGGGCTGCAAATTGCAAAAGGGCTTAACTGTACACACACCACATGTCCCAGGAAACAAAGAGATTGAAAATTGGCCTAAAACTCGAAAAGAATTCACTGTACAATTTGGTTTTGTGGATGAGTTATCCAGAGAAACTGAAAGCTTTAAAGAGGCCATGAAGCTTGGGCTATGGAGTAATCCCTCTTCAAATCATTGGAATGGAAAGGGTATGGAAAAAATCGTACCTCTTCAATGAGAAATTAGGGAGAGAAGCTTCCGGAGTTTGTTGAAAAAGTGAGATTATGGATGGACTAAGGAGTGGAGCAAAACAAACCTTCAGATTTGGATATTTCCATATATTTCCGAATTTATACGTTTTCGCCTTTTGGAAAGTTCGACGCCAACAGACTTACAGCAGACAGACTATTGGCACTATACCATTATTCAGAAAATGCAGTCAATACCAGAGGAAGCTTTAGAAGGGATGTTATCTTTAATCGAGTAATTACAAATTTTATTCTATTTTCTTTAATCAAGTAACGAGAATGCACGGAGTAAATCAATAGTCACATATTATATGGATAACAATGTGCAAAATTTAAAATGGTTTTGCGGTGAAATTGAAACATTGTAATGAAATTATATGATTTGATTAAATTGAATGTCCATTGTTATTTAAAGAGTGATCACGCTTTGGATGAACAAAGCTCACAGCAGCAGCAAGAGCATTCTGTTATGTGTTTTCAGGTTGTCATTCTGCTATCTTGGAAGATCACAAATCATGTGACCACAAGCAGGAAGATTATGATTCAGCAATTACCTAGAATATTCCAGTATAAGTCTTCATTGTGTAAATAAAAGTCTTAATCGGTTATTGTTGACTAAGTCTTATATGTGTATATACTTGAAACAGGAAAAAGGGATGAATGACAGTTTTATTTTTCCAGACTTCCTTTGCTAAACTAAGCTTTGTTCTTCTCTCGTCTAAATTTAACTTTACATTCTTTTCAACTTAGAATAAATTTCTTGCTTAATGATCGATCCTTGCAGTTTCTCTATAGTATCAGAGCAGGTTTAATCATGCTCTGTTCCTTCCGCCAAACACTCTGATCGTAATTGCCGTATAAAGTTTGGGGTTTTTTTTGTTTTTAGGGTTTCAATTGAAGTTGGAGAAGCGTCAGAAGGATAACTCAAAATGAATGAAGCCATTCTTCGGCGAGAAGTTATGAACGAAGAACAAGAAGAGAGCTGGATGCATTAATTGAAGAGCAATTGCAGGTACATGGTTATGAAAATCCAAGAACTCCTCTTGTCTCAATTTTACTGAATGGAAAGAATTTTTTGCTCTGGAAGAATACCATGATTCCTGCCTTAGAAGCTAAAATGAAACTAGGTTTCATTGATGGAAGCTTTCCGAAACCACCAGAAGGTACACTTAAGAGTATTAGATGGAATCGAGCTAACAGTTTGGTTTGTTCACGAATTAAGAGTTCAATGATGCCAGATCTAGCTAGAACGTTTATGTTTGTTCACGATGCAAGAAATTTATGGAGGCAGTTAGAAAAACGTTATGGCACAACTTCTGCGCCACAATTGTTTGAGTTGAAACGTGAAATAGCACTGATTAAGCAGGGAGATTCTTCAATCTCAAACTACTATGGTAGACTCAAACAGCTCTGGGATGAGTTTGAGTAACTTAGGCCAAATCCTGTTGTAGATGGAGAAATTGGAAACTTGTTGAGGACTCGAGAAGTGGAAGATAGATCCATGGAATTCCTTATGGGACTTAATGAAATTTATGAGCATGAGAAGAACCAGATTCTTTTCATGGATCCTATTCCTAGTGAGGAAGAAGTGTATAACAGATTGTTGAAAGCAGAAACTCACAGGCAGTCAGTACCAATATGGTGGCACGTGAAGAGAATGTGGCTATGGTTGTTAGAACATCTGATTGGCTGCTGCATCTACTAGTAAATTGCAGAAGGAAGATAAGAGTACTCTGCTATGCACATACTGTCAAAGGACTGGACACATTGAAGATGGGTGTTTCAAGCTAATCGGGTACCCTAAGGATAAACCTGTCAAGAAATGTTCATACTGTCAGAGAGAAGGACATGAGAAGAAGGATTGTTTTAAACTAAATGGTTATCCAGATAAGCCACTCAGAAGGCAAGGACAAGGTTTCAATGTGGCCAATGTAGTTGAAGATTCTCCTCTTGAAGCTGAAACAAGCATGACCAATACAGAACAACTGCAAGCTATGATGAGGATGATGATGCAACAGGAGTTTGAAAGGATCACTAAGGGCAAAGGAGTTGCAGGAATTCTCCCAGAAAGTTCTTCTGTCAACATGGTTCACTTCCATGATTTTGCAGGTAGCACAACCATTACTAAACTTAGTTCAATTGCTTGTGATTATATTGGTTCTAAGGCATGGGTCACAGATATAGGAGCAACGGGTCATATGTGCACTGATTTGTCACTCATGAATAATATTACATCTGCTAATCGTTTAACCCCCATTTTATTGCCTGACGGAAGCATCAAATATGTGACACATTTTTGTGATGCTTTTGTTTCTTAACAGCTTACTCTTACATCATGTATGCATGTTCCTGGATTCAAATACAATTTACTTTCCGTACATAAACTAGCCAAAGCGTCAAACCTTTTCTTCCAATTTTATGCTGATTTTTGCTTGCTACAGGACCTTAAAACAGGAAGGGTCCTGGCAGCTGGCAAAGTCATCAAAGAATTATATGTTCTGGATGAAGCCTCATTTACTCCACAAGCTATTGTTAAGTCCCAGGAACTGTATGTATCATATATGTTACATAATGATTTTTCTTGTAAGCCTCAGTCTTCGTGTAAACAGGTGTTTGATGCCTGTAATGTGACTATAAGTCCTCAGCTTTTACATAGTTGATTAGGTCACCCTTCCTTACCTGTAATGAAGCACATTATAGCTTATTCGACTATTTCATGCACATCTTTAGAAGCTGCAAAAACAGATGTAGAAAACTATGGTATTTGTCCACTTGCAAAACAATGTCGAAATATTTTTCCTCTCAGTTCTATACAAACTAAAGCCTGTTTTGAAATGCTTCATGTTGATATATGGGGGCCTTATCGACATGAAACTCTCAATGGTTGTCAATTTTTCCTGACTATTGTTGACGATCATAGTAGAAGTACTTGGACCATTCTTTTTTCTTCTAAGTCAATTGTTCCGTCATTGTTAATCAATTTTCTGAAAATGATACAAACTCAATTTCAGGCCAAAGTAAAAGTCATTCGCAGTGACAATAGCACTGAATTTCTTACTACACAGTGTAACCTTTTTTTGTTGATGCTGGTATCATTCATCAGCGATCATGTCCCTATACGCTCAGCAAAATGGGGTTGTTGAGCGTAAACATCGTCACCTTTTACAGGTTGCAAGATCTCTTCTCTTGCAGTCGAAGTTGCCAAAAAAATTTTGGGGGAATCCTTACTTACAGCCATTATCTCATAAATAGAATACCTACACCACTTTTACAATGGAAATCACCCTTTGAAATCCTTTATCAACAGAAACCAGACTTGTCCCTATTACGTGTTTTTGGTTGTCAAGCTTATGCTGTAAATAATGGTCCATGTCGTGATAAATTTGATCCCAGATCTTTTTCTGGCATCTTTGTTGGTTATCCTCCAACGCAGAAAGGTTACAAGATTTACTGTCCTTTGCTTGACAAAATCATCACTTCTTGTGATGTCCTCTTCCATGAAGATATTTTTCCTGGCATTGCCTCTGATTCACAAAACCCTATAACTCCATTACTCATTTTCCACTAGAAGACAGGTCCAGTTTTCCATCTTCTGTTCCTTCCAACATTTCTTCATCTCCTGTATCATCACCTCCTTTACAGTCCCCAGTCTCTTCCAGTTCCTCTCATCATTCATCATCCTCTCCTTTGTGTTCTTTACCACCACCTCCACCACTTCTCAGACGTAGCACTAGATCCACTAAGCTTCTCGGATACTTGCAAGATTTTGAGACTACTTTCACATGTACTACATCTGTCTCTCCTGTTTGTTTTTCTGATTCCACATGTCTATTTTTCAGTGCATATAAATCCTTTGTTGCTAATGTATCTGATGGTTTTGAGCCTAGTATTTATAATCAAGCACGAACTAATGTCAAATGGGTTGAGGCTATGAACAAGGAGTTGCAGGCACTTGAAGTTAATGATACTTGGACACTTACTTCATTACCTCCTGGAAAGAAGGCTGTTGGTTCCAAATGGGTCTACAAGATCAAATGCAATGCTGATGGGACAATCGACCGATACAAGGCACGTCTTGTTGCCAAGGGATATACACAAATTGAAGGTGAAGGTTTTTTTGAAGTGTTTTCTCCAGTCGCTAAGGTTGTGACTGTCCGTCTTGTGTTTGCTATTGCTGCGTCGAAATCTCGGCCAGTCCATCAATTGGACGTCAATAATGCCTTCCTACATGGTTTTTTTGAATGAGGAGGTTTATATGCTTCCTCCTTTGGGATATGATCGAGCTCTTCCTAGCCAGGTGTGTAAATTAAAGAAATCATTATATGGTTTGAAGCAAGCTTCCCGCCAGCGGAACTTGGAATTTTCTAGTAAGTTGATAGGTTTTGGATTTAAGCAATCTTATCATGATCCATGCTTATTCTGCTACATTACTGCCACTATTCAGTTATTTCTTTTGGTTTATGTTAATGATGTCTTACTCACGGGCACTGATGAGACAGAAATGCAATGAGTTAAGACATATCTTCCTAGGCTATTTACTATTAAAGACATGGGTCCTGCTAGGTATTTTCTTGGAATGGAAATCGCTCGATCTCATCATGGCATTTATATAAGCCAACGAAAATATATTACTGATCTCCTTGCTGATGCTGGTTTGCTTGATTGTCACTCAGTTTCTACCCCTTTTCCTCCTGGACTGCATTTTCAGTCTCTTGATAAAGATGCCACTCCTCTTTATTCTGAACCATCACATTACCGCCGCTTAGTTGGGCGCCTGTTATACCTGAATTATACCAGACCTGACATTACTTTCGTTGTTCAACAACTCAGTCAATTCGTCCATAGTCCTCATGATTCTCACTGGCATGCTGCTACTCATGTCCTTAGGTATCTCTCTGGCTGCGTTAGTCGTGGTTTGTTTTCTTCCAATTCCTCTTCTCTGTCCTTGCTTGCATATAGTGATTCGGATTGGGGATCTTATCGCTCCTCCTAGCATTCCTTGACTGGTTACTGTATCATACTTGGCAGTAGCCTTGTTTTTTGGAAAACTAAGAAGCAAAGTACTATCTCCTGTTCTTCTGCGGAGACCAAATACCGCGCCATGGCTGCCACCAGTCGTGAACTTCAGTGGCTTGCTTTTATGCTTCGAGATTTTTGCATTGATATTCCTCTCCCTATTGTTTTTCGTT